AAAATGTACTGTTTAGAAGGCTGGAGAAACCTGCAGTCAGCTGAGACTGAAGAAGTGACTCGGATGAGTGATGACAAAAAAAATATTGAGCTAAAATAAGGGTAATAGGTGCACTTTGTCAGGGTTCCTGGGTCGGTGACCCAGTGCTTTCCGTTTTGTTCATGTTCAGTTTATTTTGCCACTTCCTGTTTGTTCCTGTGTCACCTCGTCTCGTGCCGTTAGCCAGATTATGTTCAGCTGTGTACTCACCGGTCTCTCATTATCATCCTCATCAGTCTGTGTATTTAAGTCTTCTGTTTCTACTCGTTCTCTGTCGTGTCATTGATGTTGAGGTTATGTTGTTGTTTCCGCCTGTGTTCGGTCAGCCAGCCAGTCAGTCAGTCCGTCCTTCATTCATTCAGTCAGTCGTCCAGCCAGCCAGCCATGTCCTTCCTCTGTTCTGTGTGTTCACTCCATCAACAATAAATCACCCAGCTTCACCTACCTGCGAGTCCTGCGTTTGGGTTCCTTCTTCCTCGCCTCCACTCCGCGACCCCTGACACACTTTAATTAAATGAAAAACTCTTTAAATCACCTTGACTGTCATTTGGTACATGGTCATTACTATTACTCTTCTTAACAAAGTAGCTCAGAGTTGTCGTCATTGGAAGAAAGCGTGCTACACAAGCTTGTTCCAACATGCTTTCATTTGATGACGAACGTCTTTGAACTGGCCTTTTTTTATCTATATTGTACTCCTCCTAAAGTATTTTTACAATCCAAACAATTTTGATATCTTCTACAGTTTCAACACTGCAAAACTCTCTAGAGTTAAAGGAACTTTTTGCAGTACCACTCACTTTGTACATACTCACAATCAGAGTGTTGATTAGTGTTGGATTTCTACTACTGAGAAAGCTTGTGAGGAATATTGAAGAGAGGATCCAAAGTCAGGATGCAGTCAGGTGAAACAAGCAAAATGCAAACCTCAGTGACTGAAGTCTCCTGTTGTTATCTTACAATAATGTCCTTTATCATCTTGAATATGTTTTGTCCTTGAAGGCAGCGATGTGCCTGCTGTGGGAGGCAAAAGGCCACCTGTGACATGAGTTTTAAACATACAGTACATGAATCTCAGTGCATGTTTGAAGATCTGTGCTGTGGTTCACGGCAGTGAGCTCAGATTTCAGGGCAAATTAAAGTCCCTGATATGTTCTGTAGAATATATTAACTGAACATTAACAGGTGAAGAGGATTTGAAGTCAGAGTTGTGGGATATTTTTTTTAAAAATCTAGGCACACGTGTGTCATTGCTGTCTCACAAGATGTCAGCAGAGATGTGATTGGTCAAATGTTTTTCAAAACAGCTGTATGGAATTTTACTCTTATGGACAAAAGTACAAGAAAACAACAAAATGCCACAAATAAGATTTGAGAGAGAAAGATTTTTTTGTATAGCTGTCAGCACTGAGTGTCCTCCTTCGCTCCTGAGAAGGCTTAAGGCTACGTCAGCCACGCCCACAGACTGTTTTTGTGGATTGATTTTAAGCCTTGTGGTGATCATCCCTATCTGGATTTGTTAAAAGTAGGCAAAGGGTGGATTTGACTGAAACCCCAAAAACAATACATGATGAGAGCAATTACAAAGTCACCGCACCCTAACACGTACCCTGATATATTGTTAGTTTTGCTTTAAATATGACTATAACTTGAAAATGATCGTGAGATTGTGCTCCTTGAGACTTTAAACTAGCAATTAAAACTTTACAGAGAAAACAAACCAAGTGAAAATCATTTCTCAGAACCTTTTATACAATCGGACTTCCTTTCAAAATCAGTGAAGTCGCCACCTGCTGGCTTTCAGAAAGAATGCATGTTTAATGCACATGATTGACTACATCATTTTTTTATGCAGTGTAAAACCATTAAAATTGTAAATTAACATGATGCAAAAAGCCTTAAACACAAGCAACTGTCAGTCTTATATGCATAAGATGTTTAGAATTTAAACATGCTGAACAACAAATCAAAGCACATTTTCTCTGTTTTTCTTGTGTTTGCACTCTTTCTGTGGGCGGGAGGGATAGCAAGTTATTTTTAGTCCTTTACACAACCAAAAATAGTTGACCACCCACTTAAAAATAATATCCAGTGGCTTTTATCCTGTAATAACTTTACAGGGAAGTGTATCTTAGCTTCCAGGAATGTTGTTTTAATTATAGAAATCTAATGAGCATTTTCAAGTCCACACTTTCCACATCCACATTTCTTAAAGACTTTCGGTTTTTATTCCTGGTCATTAAGTCTTGTTGCAGCTTTAAAAGGACTCTAAGCCACAGGGTTTAAGTTACATTCAAATTACTAAGCTTTACAGCCACTCTGCCACAGGCATTAAATGTACACATATGTTCACTCTATATGTTAAAGGAAACAGCTGTGCCCAGTTTATTTTGCATGCCCACCCAGATTCTAGACATCATCTTCAATGAGCAGTTTTTTTATTCTTTTTCCATTCGCCTTCCAGTCGGATTTTCCTACAGGACTGGGTCACATCGGGTTCCCACTCTGCGTGTGGGCCCTCAGAGCTGCCTGCTGAGCTTCTGAGCTTGCCTTTCTTTTGCATTGAAGGCATATTTTGTGTCCTGTAGCTGTTCTATAACCTCCTTGGCTTCCTTCATCTCCACAGCGAGCTGGTTGTACTTCTCCACCAGCTCCTGGTTCTCTCGCCGGAGCTCCACCACCAGCTGGCTCAGCTCCTCGCTCTGCCTTCCGCAGTGCGTTTTCAGCTGCTCCATCTCCGACAGTGTCTCCTCCATACGCTTCACCAGGCTCTCCAGCTTGTCCTTGGACATCTTTGATGGTTATTTATTCACCTTTACGGGCTTTTCTGCTCTTTTCGTCCAAGCTTCGTGTCCTCTCTCCCGTGCCGCTGAGTGTCTGCACTTGTTGTCTGCGCAGAGCGATTAACGAAGCCTAATCCTCAAACGTCCCTCCCTGCACGATAATCTCCTTATTAGCACTATCCTGGGAAACCTCTTACGTGCACAGGTGTGATACACAGCCACAAAGTCTCCTGGCTAAATCGACTCCCATTAGAGGATGACAGTGATTGGCAGATTACCTCAGTTCACTCTGTGGTCTCACATGCCCAGTAAAGGAGCTTAAACAGCCACAGCCACAGAGGGATGTGGAAAGTTATAGCTTTCATGTGAAGTGTTAAGTCTTACTTTCTGGCTTACCATTAGTATTAACCAATATGAATGTGTCGTATGTATGAATCTATATTAATTAAAAGTACCTGCCTGTAGTGTAGGTCCCCCTGACCCCTGTTTCAGATGCTCAGTTGTATTGAGCTCTTAAGATAGATGGTAGAGATTAAAGTAACATCATTATGAGTACCAGGACACAGTGTGTCCAATCAGAATACCCAGCATCACACTACCTCCACCTGGTAGCTTTCTTCCCATAGGTCCTGCCTCCTTCTCTTTCCCAGGTAAACTTGCACGCACCACAGTGGGATTCATCCACATTCCATTGCTCTGTGCTCCACTCTGACTGGTCCATGAGATGCACTCTGTTTCTGTTACTTCTTTTTCTATTGTGCAGACATCATCTGCAGACATCACCAGACACACTGATGAGTCTTCGCTGCCCATGACCCTGTCACCAGTTCACTGGTTGTCCTTTCTTTGACCACATTTGGTACAAACTAATCACTGGATGCTGGAAAAACCTGGTAATATCTGCCATTTTGGTGATGCTCTGACCCAGTTGTCCAGTCATGACAGTCTCACTCTCGTCAGGCGACTCTCTCACACTAATGACTGTTCATCTGCAGAGTTACATCTCACAACTTTTCCAGGTGACATTGTAAAAAGATAATCAGCGTTATTCACTTCACTTGCCAGTGGTTTAAATACTGACAGGTAAATCCCTTCATAGTGTAAACGTCTATGAGGGGATTTACTCCACTTTTCCAGCAAATACTTGCACATCCATAAAGTCACATTTTTGTGCATTTTCACTTTTAATATTTGCAGTGTCTATATCTATATCAGTGCAGCACATGAGACTTACGTGTCTTTCATTGAAGGGAGAAAGTTAAAATAAAAAAATCTTTTTTCCCCCTTGGTGAGAAGCCCAAAAGAGCTTCAAGTGCAGGGTATAACTTAATCTGAACAGAGCAGGTTTCTGGAATCAGTGCAAGGAAAGCATAATGGAATTAACTCGTAGGTGTTCACCGGTCGAGCTGCAGGATTTGCATGCCAGGAGGAGGCCTCACTGAGGGCTTGTTAGGTAAGTCACAGTATGAGGCTAAATATTCTGGGTAAACTGCCATACTGTGCCACTGTCCCAGCCAGCAAGGCCAAACAATCCCCATGGTGACAGCAAAAGCGGCCAGTGCCCCAGGCTACATGCCAACTGCGTCTGTCAGCCAGCTGGCATCAGGGGATGCTGAGTGCGGAATGCCAGTTTACCAGCACGCCGAGGAATTTCCACAATGTTCCCACCGACCCGCGTAGTTCTACGACAGACTCATGAGGGATTGCTCACTGACAATCAAAAAAGGCTAAAGTGTTTTTCAACTATTTGAAGGTTGATGTTGATCCTGACTTTTGTGGGGAGTCATGAAAAAGAGAACAATCTAGTTCATAGCTTTTGTGCTGAAATGACTAAATATCCTGTTTTGTTTCTATCTCGATTCATCTGCTTAACTAAATATTTGATCCAAGTGCCTGAAGAAGTCACTTGGATGAGTGACAAAATGTTTCTCCCACTGAAAACGCTCCAGAGGAACAGAATCAAGATACAGAGACATTAATTAACAATTCTGTTAATTTAGGGCAGCTGTGGCATAAACCTTACATTTGGTGGTGGCCCGATACATTAGCTATGAACTGTAAGTAGCAGAAAGAGCAAAGACTTCCAGGACTGTGGTCCCACCGTTTGTACAGGTGGAGAATGGATATAGAAGCAGATGTCTGATAAGAAACTGCAGCAACAATAAAACAAAAAAGGCATTTTCAATTTTATTGTTTATTTTTTTATTTAAAAAAAAAAACAAAATTCGAATTGGAGGAATCTTGCATAACACACATAAGCATGTGAAGGACACAAAAAAAAAAAAGCCAGTTACCCAGGTTATTCCCAAAAACCAAAAGAGGGGGAAAAAACGGTCTTTTTAAAATGTCGCCTCTTGAATTCTTCTCTTTGCAAGCATGAACCTCTAGTGGAATAACAGAAGTGCTGGTCACCCTCCAAAGTAATGTGCAGGCTTTTTGTTCTTACACATATCATATCGCTTTTTTAATTTTTTGAATCAAAGTTTTTGGTTTTAATCTGACTAAAGCAGTCTGCTTCATAAGTGGAGATTAAGTTGTTTGCAAATTGAGGTGTCAAATTGAAATAGATGCACTGGTTCACCTATCAGGTTTTGACGCTCAACAACTGCACATCACTGTTTTCACACGCTCGCAGATTTTAATAAACTGGCAGGAATCCAGTGAATACAGTCATGTCTCTAAAAGTACTGTTTCTTTTCTGCATATGTTGGAGAAAAAAAACCCCAAAACAAAACATAACTATCTGCTTGTAAGTAAAATCATTTCAGTATCGATATAGCATAGTTCCAAAAAGCACCAGGCGAGCATCATGAGGGCAGCTATAGCCTAAAGGTTCAGAGTTTGTGACCATATGATCACAGGTTACAATCCCAATCGACAGGTTGGAGAAAAAAAAGTAAAAATAAAGACAACAAACTGAGTCGGGAAAGAGAACAAAAAGGATGTTTCTGGCCTACAACAACAACTACTTAAATGCCCTTGAGCAAGGCACTGAACCACCGGCTGCTCCAGCAGAGCTCCTCAGTGGCAGACAAGTCTCAGGTGTGAGTGTGTCACTGTAGTGCTCTTTCCTCCCTCTACGAGCTGCGAATTCAAATCTGATTCCATTTAAAACTGGGGGCAGAAAACTTGGTGGAATGATGTAATGGGTGCCACAATAACACTTATTATTCAGTCCAAGAGAGAAAAGTCTCTACTATTCACATAAGGAAGAGCCTCACATGATCAAAGCATCCATTTCAGCGTACATCAATGTAAATCACACCTGCTTCAGACTTCTGCGTGTCTAAAGTGATTTTTTTTTTTTAACCATTCTTAGCAGTGAGAAAAGCACACTCTGGTGACTGATATCTTATACACAATCAAACTACACATTTCTATCTATTATCACTATCATCACTGAGTGTCCATTCGTTTGTTGAAGGCTTGGTAATCTTCGGTTTAGTTCGGGGCCAGTGGTAGCTCTGCAGTAATGCAAACAGATGTGACAGAAAGGTTGTTCAAAGTCTTTAAAGGAAGATTTCATGAAAACGTCTCCCTTTGCTCAACAGCTACCGCTAAGGTGTCCCTGAGGAAGGCACCTGCTGTAAAGCCACAGCTGTAGAAGACTGCGGTTGGACCGGGCTTCTCCCAGTTTTGAGTGTGTGTGTGTGTGTGTGGGTGGGTGTCTGTGTGTATGCAAAAAAAGAAAAAAAAGGGCACTGCTGAGAAAGGAGCGGATGAGCTCTTGTAAAGCTTCCCTGGATAAATAAAAGTAAAAGCTTCCCACTGGGTTTGGACTGCGCCTGAAGCTGTTGATCAGCGAACGAACTGAAGATGAGATCCCAAGCCGAGCGAGAAGTGTCGCTTCTTGGTTTAACACAGAAATACAAAGGTTTAAGATCAGCTGTTGTGGAGAATACGCTCCTTTGGTGCCAGAAAAAAAAGGCAGAGCAAAAACAACTTGTGTCCCAGCATCATGAGCTCTTAGGAGGGGATGTGGGGGCGGGAGGGGCCCCAGCATCGCTCTTTGTTCCCCGGCTGTGAAGGGGCTGCTCTCATGTTGTTGGCCGGAGAGCTATGTGGGTGAGGGTTATCAGGGCAGCGTCCTGCTAAATGTAGAACTGGTGTAGCGCCAGCTTGTCCATGAAGGGCCGTACCAAGTTATCTGTGGCGAAATAGAAGACGAGGCCGAAAAAAATGGAGATGGGCAGAGCGGGGAGTGCTTTCTTGAAGATGGCGAGGAGGAGCAGAGTCAGACATAAGCCCTGCGGGGGCAGAGACAGACAAAATAAAACACTTTGGAAATAGCACACTGAGTAATTGTATACCAAACAAAATCAGTGCTGAAGGAGGCAAAAAATTGCTTATTATGTAATCAAGAGGTTTACATAAAGGGGGGTGGGTACTGTGCACAGAGAGAGGGTTGAAACTGCGGTGAGTCGAGTTTGATACCAAAATAAACAGCTGATCACTCACAATGAGGATGGCTACGAAGCAGGCGAGGGTGGTGTTCCAGTCGCCGCTGGCCGTGGCTGAGGCTTTTCCCACCAGCATGCTGTAGAAGATGAAGTCTCCGAGTCCCAGCTTGACACCCCCTGAGAAGGCAGAGGGACGCCACATTCAGGGTGGAGTCAATTCAAACCCAAGTTTTGCTTCAGCCACACACCCTATAACCCTTATAGAAAGCTTTCCTTGTGTATAATTACTGTAAAAACAAAATCTCTCACCCCACATTTACTGAAGCTTTAAGTTAAAACAAGCACTGGCCTCAATATAGCACAGAGATGAACACTAGCAATTTCCGTGAATAATCGCTTCCTAATTTTCTCAGTCCCAAAATAGTTCCATTCACACATGCCCCCAATTTCACAGAAAAGGGAACACTTCAAAACATTCCTAAAATGTTTAATGTCTGAGTAGCTGATGATTACACGCTAAGAAGAGGAAAGCAGACAATGTGAGAATTCACAGGTTTGAATTACCGAACCCAGCTTTTAAATGTTTTACACTTTTAAATCTAAAAATGACCCTGACGGGTTTTGTTTTATAGCTAATCTGGATGATTTAAAGTATGATGCTCAACTCTATGGAGCACGATAAAATATTTTATGTTTCAGCAGGCAGCTGTTTTCAGAAAACGGAGGTATGATCTTTGCCCAATTTAAGTAATACTTGTAGAATAGAGTGGAATAATTCACCGCTGCAAAGCCACATAGTTGCAGGGAATACTGGGCTTAAATCTGCAATCCTGCACGGACGCCAACGTTAGTAAATATACTTGGTCCATTACTTAACATTCTGTTTATGCTTCCATCTGCCCTGTGCACTTTGTACTACATAAGATCCAGCAGTAACCACACATTAGTCAGCCATAATGTTCAATATTGTTTCACCACTTACTCTCCTCATCATCCTCTTCAACAGGAGGACGCGCTGAGGGCATCTGCTGGATTTCCCGTCTGGTCTCATCGGTCGACTGGAGCGGCCCCAGTCGATGCTCCTGCTGGCTGACCCAGGACTGGGTGAAACCTCCATCGTCCTGTGACGGACTCGATGGGACCGGAGACGCCAGTGGTGCTGAAAAAAGATACCAGTTAGGTTTGAAAAGTAACCGTCGAGTAGGGCTGTGCGACATGACCAAAATCTCATATCCCGATATAAAACATCTATCGTCCGATAACGATATAAATCACAAGATTTTAACATTGTCTGTAAATTCTGTGAATCTCGGGCAGCTCAACATGCGTGAAGTGTTTCCAGCTGGGCGTCATGTGAAGTCGAGTGTTTTAACAGATGCATGAAACTATACATTTTTAGTCATAAGCCGCCGTTTTCTTTGCGAGTATTTATTACACGGCGTGCTGCGGGGAAAAGCCTGTTCTAACGTTTAAGTCTAAGGTTATCTTTTAGCACCTGGCGGCTCTTTTTTACTTCTCATCCATAAACACTCTGCATCTTTCACGTGATTCAGTTTATTTTAAAAAGTCTCAACAGGATCTTGAGTTTTATTGTGAAAGGTTTATGTGGAAAATAAACAAGCGGACACGCGATGGTTTTACCG